GTTTGGACAAGTTCTTCAGCCTCTGGGCCACCATCTCCTCCTGGGCAAAGTGGTGATAATAAAAGTACTTGCGTCAGCCCTGGCCGGTGTGGCTCAGTTGGTTGGGCGTCCTCTTGTGCACCAAAAGGTTGCCTGTTCAATTCCCGGTCAGGGCACATGCTGGAGCTGTGGGCTCCATCCCCAGTAGGGGGCGTGCAGGAGGCAGCTGATCGATGCTGGGCTCTCACATTGATGTTTCTCTCTCCTTCTCTCTTGATTCTCTCTCTAAAAATCAATTTCAAAAATCTTTAAAAAAGAAATGTAAATAAAAATAAAAGTACTTGGTTCTGGTCTTTGTGAGGATTAAAGAGTGAACCCGATGAAAAGCTCCTAGCATGTGCCTGGCACAGAGTCAGCGCTTAGTTACTTTTACCACTTGTCTCCCTCTCCCTCTGCTCCTCAGTTCCATCACCCCCACTAAGTAAATCTTAGGACCTCCTGAGGAGCAGCCGTGGAGCCCTGGCCCTTCAGTCTCCGGATGAGAATGCAGAGGGCCCAGTGCAGGAGGGACCTGCTTCAAGGTCACACAGCCAGCCAGTGGCCCAGGCAGGACTTTAGCTCAGGACTCTGGCCAAGGCCCCTGCTCCTTCTGCGGGTCCCACCTTCTCAGCCCAGCCCAGAGTGGCAGGAAGAGGGACCTCCACTCACATGCTCGGACCCTGTCGGGCTTGGCAGCTTTCTTCTCCGCTCTCAGGAATGAGTTAACTCCTGAGGTCTGTTTCATGCCCCATGTGTAATCTTCCTTACGATGCTTATCATATTTCTAGGGCAGCATCTGCCTGGCTTTGAAGACTCGGGCAGGAGCCTGGCCTACCATAAACGGGCTGAATTACATTTACAAGCGGCCTTTAATGCCCTGTGGTCTCAGCTTCCTTAATGGGGATTTTCCTCCCCCTTTCTTTCTCTCTGCCTTTTAATACGGTCACTGGTTTGGCTTTCAGAGTGCGGTTTGGATTCCTATCAGAGAAGTCGAGGCCGTAGAATCCCTTCCAGATCTTCCCTCCCTCTTCTCCTCCAACCTCCGCTGCATGTGCCAAAGCCCCAAGAAAAGAAAACTGTTGCTCCTGTCAGGATTTCAGCAGGAAAGAGAGAAGCCCTGTTGGGATTTTATCCACTGGGAAATGGCTGGTACAGAAATTCTCCTGACTCCGCACCTGAGCAACAGACCCGCGGGCCTCTTGGGGGCTGGAAGGGGCCCAGCCAGAGGCTCAGGGGGCTCGAGGGGCAAGGTGAGGGACCCATGCCAGCGTGGGTGAGGAGCCCTCCCACCTATCTCATGACCTCACCTACCTCCATCCCTCCCCTTTCAGAACCAGCTGCACCTTTTGGAGACCTCAATTATTCTTTTTTTTTTTTTTCATTTTCACTTAAAGTTTTTAACAAGAGTTGTATATAAGATTACTTTATTCCTTCATCTCCTCAGTTGTTTCTTTTTGTATTTGCCCCTTGGCGAGATCTGGCTTTACGTTCCAGGATCTTTAGTCTGGTGATAACCGCCATGCTGCGGGGAACGTCCACATGAAGAGTTGTGCCATTAGCCTGCTCCCGGGCGCTCATTCAGTGTGGATGACATACTTCTTCCTGTAACCCTGAACCACTTTGCCCATTGCTGCCCTTTGTAATGTCCTCGCACAACCTAAACTCCACCATCCTTTCGGATGGGCACGGGTCGAACATTGTACTATCTCAGTTCTTTGGAAAGAGGAGGAGACATAACCTTCCTGCGAATGTGGGAAGGTGCATTGAAATACCTTTATGGTTCTTGCTCCGGTGAGAAGTCACAAAGGGATTGAATTTCATTTTGACCACTGGTGGTGCTTCAGCGATCACAATTGTTCTTGAACTATTGTTTTTTGCTAGTTCTGTCTTTGCAAAGGGATCAGGTCCTATGTGGTCTATAGATCTAGATCTAAATCTAGATCTATAATCTTGAGATTTCAAACTCAGTCAGACGTTTGGCCAGCCTTGAGTTGGGGTCTGGGAAGGGGACTTTGTCTCCCCATCCCCCTTCTTTCCTTTTTCTCCTTCCACAGGATGAGAAAGGGCTAGAGTGCGATTTTTGGAGAATGGTTAAGTCACGTTTTATCTTTTTTCAGAAGGAGCGCATGGCAGTGCCAGCTCTGTGGTCCCGGGCCCTCCTGTGGTCTCTCCTTTGGTTTCCTCTGCTTCTCAGATGACACCTTCGATTCCTGTGAGATGCTTCTTGACTGTTGGTGTCACTGGGCCTGGCCGACCTCCAGCTCCTGATGGATAACTGGCTCAGGTCGAAGGCTCAGAAACCCAGCCCAAGGCTGTCTGTCATTTTGTCAGTCCTGAGAGCGGGTCTCCTCACGCCATGTGTTTATGTTTACATGCCGTCGCCATGGCTGCACACATATGCTCCTGCAACATGCAGGCAATAAAGTGACAGGCAACCAAAAAAGGGTAGGAGGCAAAGAGGCCAGGAATACCAAATCTGTGACATCTTCCCCCGAGAAAAATCGGCCATCTCCAGTGTCTTGATAAATCACATTTTATCTCCTTTCGAAAGGAGCACATGGCGGAGCCTATTTATCTTGATGACATTGTCCAGTCTGCACAGTGTCATCCCTTTGGTGGGGAGATGGCCCCTTTGCCCGGCCTCAGAGAGAAAAGGAGGAAGGAGAGCTTGAGGGAGAGTCTAGGAGAGGAACACACATACCAGAAGTACCTAGTGGGCGCCTGCTGAATGCAAAGCCCGTGCTGAGTGGAGTGTATGGTGCTCCAGAGGAAGGAGCGGCAGACCATGGCCTCCAGCTCATACTGTGTGTGGAGAGGTGAGAGACACAAATGGGAAACAAGTCACACAAGATGTAATGTGTTAGATGTTCCCCTGGAGCAGGGCTGGTGACCAGTACCTGTGGTGATGGGAATTCAGGATGACTGTCACAGCTGCTGTCAGTGCCCCCCAGGTCCCCTTACCATTCACCTCCGCCTGCCAGAAGCTGCTCGTGGGAGCAACTAGGGGCTTTGTTCTAGCCACAGGGGGCACACTCAGCTAGAAGTGCCAGGGCGTTAATGCTCTCCAAAGCTCAATGACAA